TGGTGAAGAGCAGCAAGCTCAGGGACAAGCCCGAGTGGTGTTTCAGCCCTGTCACACGGGCGACAGTATCTCCCAGACCACTCAAAGGCTCAGTCTTCTCATCCGTCAAATGGGTGGTAAGAAGACTCACACCTCAAAGAGCTGTGAAGATAACTGAAGGAATCTAGGCATGTGCGGTGCAGGGCAGGGTGCCTGGCACACGGTAAGCACCTGGTGAGTGTTGGCTGGTGACATCCACGTTCACAAACATTTGTCTCTCCCTTTCTGGGTGCTGATTCATCCTCTATCTGATGTTAAAACACGGGGTCTGCCAACCCCTCAGACCCTGAACTCCACGTAACTCAGAGCCCTTGCCTGGAATGTGCGGGATCCGAACAAGGGCTACTCCTCCCGCAGGTGAGAGTGTGAGGCAGATGGTCACAGAAAAGCTAAGAAAATGAAAACCTGTGGAGACAGGCAGAAAGGAAGACACGGAGAAAAGGCTTGTGGGTGGCATTCCTGTCCCTGTGGCCAGCTGTGTCCTCGCCCTTACCGTAATTCGGTCATGCGGTTTAATACATTACCCTCGTACCCATAAATTATAGAAAAAGGGTGCCTGTCATTTACAGTAAATGGAGCTCTAATTAATAAAACTGTTATTAGTAAAACAAAAAAATGCAGTGTGAAAACATACCCATTAGTGTTACTAGACTAATTACTTAGTTATGTGGAAATAATTACAGCCATCTTTTAAATGGAACCTTAACTTACACCGAGAATCAGTATAAAAGTAAATTCTATTAAACTATATGTCAATTTTATATTTTTACTTATTTAATGATCAGTAAAATTTTATTTGCATAAGTTTGCTAATATTGGCATTAAAGGGACTGACATATTGACTGAAAAATGTCATTTATTACTTCTTTGTTATACAAAAAATATATGAAACCTCACATGGAAAAAGAGTCCTAATAATTGGCTTTCTAAAACATAATGCATATTTATTAATTAAACACTTAATAGTTAAACATTTAATGATTTAAAAAGTATGCCCTGAATTTAAAAAAATATTAACTACTAAATATATACAGCCAGCTGTCAAAGATCAAAGAGGAAAAACAATAACCCATATATAATTCTTTATCTGAAAATATGATTACTATTGACCATTTATCACAGATACGATCACATGCAACTATATGAAGCTGTGTATGAACAAACACATAAACAACTATACACATTACACACAGCTACAGAAGCACAAACACACTAAGTAACATTCTATGACTATTATTTCAATGAAGCACAGTAAACTCATCAACCACACCAGGCTAAAAAGAAATAATGTTCAGAGGGCCTGAAATAAAATAATGGTTGTAGTTATAGTAAAGTCTTGACTGGAATAAACTTCAAGGAAAGCTAAGGGGAAATTTATGAACAAAATAATGAAATCTTTTATTTTTGTCTTAAAATCAAAAGTTGAATAGAGTAAAAGAGACTTCCTAGACCTACAAATACAATGAATTACACAATTTTCTTACCCCTTTTAGAGGTGAACTATCCTATGAAAGCGCCAGAAGTTGTATTTAGTAACTGATAGCATACCTACGAACCCTAACATGTGGGTGTGCACGCATCTGCACTGGCACGTGAGCCGGCCTGCATCCGTATGTAGAGTGGAGAGAGGGGTGCAGACCTAAGGCTCTCACTCCCCTGTACAAACGTGACCTTTTAACCTGAACTCTAGGTAATGCATAGGTAAGAAGGTACACGCACTCCCTGATAACCTCACGAGGCCAGGGGACAGGCATGGGCTAAGGCCAGCTGTGGCTGGGCCCCCATATGTCCTGCTGTCTGCCATCACTCTGCGGCTGGGTGTTCAAAGAAATTCAAAGCTGGAATTGAGTACACCAAAGGGAGGCTGGAAGAACATGTGAGAAGCCAAGAAACATTTATGCAGATTTAAGAGGTTCTTGACCCTGATAGTCAAGAAGGAGCTTGCAGGTGAGTGGCCAATGAGCAGAGAGAGGAGATGAACATGAAGGGATGAGTTAGAAACCAGCCAAAAGACTTGGCCTTATGGTCACCAACACAGATTAGTGCTCTGTTCCTGGACCTGCCCTCCTTCAGCGGATGACCTCAGTCAGCACCACAATGCTGTCTTGGCCTTTGTGTTTGTTCTTTTATTTTTATGCAAAAACACTGTATGATCTGCTGAACTCACTGAGACAGGGGAATGAGACAGTGGTTTGAGAAGTGGAAGAACAATATAAATGATGATGAGAGGTTCATTGTTCTATTGTTCTACTTTTAACACATAAACCAGGTGATGCAAATCAAATGAAAAACAATTCAACTACATTCAATGCTGCTGTACACCTTTAAACTTATACTTCACATATCAGTTATATGTCTGTAAAACTGGGCGGAATAAAAAATATCTAACAAAACATACCTGATAAAATTCTTTGTGAGCAATTAATCATTTGGTTAAAATACCTTTTTTAAACAGTATTCGTCAATTAACACATGCCTGAGACCAACTCATACCTGTGCCACTCAGTAATAACATAACACTCCATATGCTACCATTACAAATGTAAATACACATAATACACTATAATTGATAATAGAACACAATGAAAAAAACAGGTGGAAGAGAAAAAGGGCATTAGGAAAGAAAAGTCATGGAGAGAAGTGTTCTCTGGAATAGTTACTCACAAATAAAGAAATGGCTCCATTTTGGGGTGCCCCTAGGGCACAGTATATGTAGCAACTCCATAAATAAATGCTTATTAAGTAGAACTGAGAAAACCACTGTGTGATTTCTCCCTGTTCCACCCCCGTCCAACACTGAGTGCTTTAAGCAGTATTACACAAGATAGCCAACGTTCAGGTGCTATTTCTTATGGCAGTGGCACAGAAGTTGTGGTAAACAACAAAAGTATAAAAGCTATTATGGATAATTTTCTTTCATTTACTTTTAACAGCAGGTAACATCAGCTAGCATTGCAAAAACAAATAGTATCAGGGAAGAAGCAAACATGACAATTGCCAATTGTAAAAAAAATCATAAAGTTACAGTGACATGACTTTTTTTCCTTGCCTCCAAATATAGTACGTGAAAGTGGGGCTTAGTGACATCCTGAACAGAACAGCAAAGTAAGAGTTCAAAAAGTAATGTGTTTTAGCCCCTTAAGCTGACTGCCCACTGCGGAGGAAAATTCATATATAGTGAAGTGAAGCTTTAGTGACATAATAACACTTTTTTTTTACTGCTATGAAGTAGCCTATTATAAAAAATGTTTCTTCTGTTCTCTGGAAAGTACTGGAGAAGCAAGAAGATGAGAAAAGCAAATTTAAGGTAGACTTTAAATTGGATAAGGTGAGACAAAGTGAATTTATTTTTCCTTCCAAGCTAAAAAAAATACAACTACAATAGCACCTCCTTTCTTGCTGCACCAACTTGGAATGTCCTGTTGGACTTTCCAGGGCTTCTCTAATCTGAACCAGCCGGCACGTCCGAGTTTCCCACTCCCACCTCCAATGCGGGCACCAGCCCTCGGTGCCCGGGCTGGGCTAATGCACTTGCCCAACACACAGCCAGTCTGCTCCTCAGTGCTGGGCTGTGCTTCTGACGGTCCTGCCCTGCGTGCTCATCCCTCTCCCCCGAACCTTGTCTCTTCCTATCATCCCTCAGAGTGCTGAGCTCAGGCAGCCATCCACTCAACAACTACGGAGTAGGCACCTACTACGCACATGTCTGCACATGCATGTGCATGTGTGTGTTGCACACGTGTGTATGGTTCATACATAACAGAGCACTCGGAGTGATTCTTCAAAGACAGAAACAACAATGCTGAGTGACGTGCAGACTGTCAGGGTTGCTGAAAGGCGGAGACTCGACAATGACTTGGGTCCCCAGCAGGCTGACTGGGAAGACAGTGACACGATGAGGAGAAAATAAAAGCTGTCACTAGAAAAGACAGTAGGTGTGCTGCGTGTGTCCCACAGATACACACATAAAACCAGGGTTAGAGGGTCAAGAAAATCATCATCACTGTGGTGGGAAATTTATTCAGACTGAAGAGGGACTTACCTGAGAAAGGCCAAGTAGGAAAATGACTACCTGTCCACATGTCTGACACAGTTCCAGCTACACTCAAAGAAAGCAATTTCAAAATGCCCTTCCCTCGTGAGTACAAACACTCACGAATCACACTGCTACACACAGCACCAGGCGGCATTTCAGCTCTGCTTTTACTATGTGAGCGAATGGTTGAAAACTATTTTGAACGGCCTGTTTATTTTAAAAAATGCATCAAAATGCTTTTATTGTGAACAATGAAATATCATAATAAAAATATAGGCTGGCGCCAAAATTCATCTCTTAAATTTACTATGTGATTTATTGCCCTTTGCTAGTAAGGTCGTTACTATATCGTTTTAAACCTAAGTATATAAATAGTACAAGCTGTTGTTTTTAAATTAAATAAATTCTGTTGTGTGCCTGTAAAAAAGAAAGGCACTTTAATGTTTTATTTTAAATGTAGTCTTGAAGAACAAGTTTAAAACAATCTTACTTTATAGATATTTAAATATTTCATATATGCACTATCGTAGTTAGATACCATTTCTCTACTTGCAATTATTTATTCTGTAATTTGTTTAAATATAAGGAACGTACATTTTTATTTCTTAAAGACATTATTTTCAGTTTGAAAGTGCTTTTTAATAAATCAAATTTTCTGCAGTTAATTTCCTTTTGAAAATGATACTGAAGTATGTATACAGTCATTTCATTTCTTTAACAGTCTGGGCATTTGTTAAATAATATTTGATTCAATTATTATTTCCAGAAGAAAAAAATGTGAATGTCAAATCCTGAAATACTGTAAGGAGATTTTTAAATATCACACCCTGAAACACTCTAGGGAAATTTCCTACTTGATTTTGGGGATTTGTTCTCCTCACACGTGTTTTTATGATGCACTAAAAAAACCAATCTCAAATCTCACCTGTTTTTGATTGCAGGTTCCTTCTTGGTTCTTCAGGGGCCTCAATCGGCTGATCAGCCAGGAAAACTCGGGCTTGGTCGATAGCATTCAGCACAGAGTACTCCTTCTCCTTTAACTCACGTCTCAGCGCCTTGACAAAGAGAAGCAAAAGTTGGATTCATAAATTAACCTGGTCAGCAAGTAATGGAACATCTTAAATTCCACTGTGTCCCACCACACTTGACATGGAAGGGACCAATAACCAGCATTTAAGCAAAATTTGAAGTGAAAAATATAAGTTTTAAAATGAATGATGAAATGCAAATAAAAGCAAAAAGATGAATTCTAGGAAACTTAAATATGCAAAAAACATACTTCACAAGATTGTTACAGTGTATGTGAACTTACCCAAGATGTACTTTTAGTGTCATCGCCACTGTCAGATTGCTAAAATATAATAGCCTGTTCTAAATCACATTTTTCGATAAGACTGACTGACAAAAAAATTACATGCAATGGTACAGGAGAAGGCAATTTCATAAGTAGTAATGAGATCTTCAGAAGTGTTTTACATTCTTTGGAATATATTAAGAAAAAAATTAAGAGATAGAAACAAATTAAAGTACATGAAATCAAAACTAAACCTGAGAACAAAGAAAAAAGACAGTCTCCAGTGATCTTAAAATATGTTCCATTTGTCATGCGGAAGCAATTACAACTTTTCCCTACTGAGGTTTTTCATGCAAATCTAGCAATCTCAGAAAAGTTTGTCCAGTACTCACACTCTTCTAGGTAGGGTTAAACTTCCACCATGCTCCTGTGAAATGCTTGGTGGTTAAAACTCTAATTGACTAGGATCTAAAAACAACAAAGCTCAGCCCATGACTATTGAAAGATAAGAGTAAATGAAGATCTTCTCATGTGCTATTTTAATGCTGTAGCTAAATCAAAATTGTTGTTAACGTTGTTATCCTCTTAAATTATACACATAAACACCTGTCAGCTCCAATATTTTGCTTTTAATGCAGATCTCTGATAACATATTAGGAAAATTCAATTTTGTTTATTTTCTAAAATATCACACTCCAGCAGTACTTTAGCATCAATACAGTCTTTCCTTCTGAACATAACAGTTGTTTTTAATAGCATTTGACATTACTATGTTGGGATGATAAGATATTTCCAAGCTAAATCCTCATTTTCCACAGTAAATAAAAAGTAAACTTTAAATATCTACAAATACCAGGCTATTCACCTACTGTAAGAGAACTGCAGCTAAACTGTAACAAAGTTGGGAAACACCGTCACAGGTGTGGGGGGGGGGCAGCGAGAAGAACCGGGAGGAGGAGACCAAGAGGAAGGGACGGAACGCCGGTGTTTTGTGATAAGCATTGAAAATATTTTTGACTTTTAAATTGTGTATAATTATGACTGATTAAAAACCAAAGCTGAAAGAATAAAAGTGAACACCAATCCACAACTTAGACACGGTGATAAAGTACACAGTGTGAGAGGAAATTAAACTTTGTTTAAAATCCATGGATAACACTCATGTGTCCCTTCTATCACTTATATAACCAAACACTGACCGTGAAGCAAACACAAGGCAATAAGTTCTACATCAATTATCACCTAAGACCATGAAATGGCTATTTTGGGGGAAAAGCGACTAAACCCCCATCATCTCTATTTAAGAAAGGCAGGTTGCAAAAAAAACTACCAAGGCAGGACACCCCCAGAGAACAAGATGATCTTTGGACATTTAAAGTGTCTGATACACAGAAACAAAGGAGACACATGAAAATGGAGAAAATGTATTTTTAATCCAGAAATACACACACACACACACACACACACACACACACACATTTACAGGTCTTGAGTTAATTATGCCTTTAACATAGATTATTGTTACAGCAAGAAACTCCAAATGAATGAAAATGCTCCTACTATTTACTTCCAAAACCAACTGGAAACATAAAACAATGACATGAGAAAGCACGTCACCTAAAAGACAGCAGTGAGAAACAGGAGCAGAAGAATTCCTAAAAATTTTAGTGGTCAAGAGTATGTATCTCCCAAACCCAACAACCTAACCAGTAAACGTGGGAACAGTAAAGAACTTTAAATGATGTTCTAGGGCTGTGCTAGCATTCTTCCTTGTGAAAGGGAAGCACCAGCAATGCACCCATTGAACACAAGCTCCCAGAAGGAGCTGGAACACCTCACGCTGGTTCACCAGATAGGATGAAGGGCTCACACGCAGTATTTAGGGACTTGGCACCAAAGAGAAACCAGGAAATACCAACGGGTTGTTGAGGTGGAAGAAGTTAAAAGCTAAGGGAAGACAGACCCTAGAGGAATGTGCCTCAGAGAAGGAAGAACAAAAGCAGGCCGGGTCCAGAGGAGACGACTCTGGGGCATGTATTTCAGAGGGTGAAACCAGCCCTTATGGTGGAGGGAGAAGGTAACACGATTCACGTGATGTGGGCGTACAGAAGTTTCTAACTGGGAGTTCCAGATTATTATTAGTCTTCACAGTGTGCTTTGGGTAGGGCTGTGGGGTGGGGAGATGGCAAAAACAGATTTGTCTTGAAAATATTTTTAGAATTTAGAAAAATCCGATGGAAAAAATGCATTTGTCTACAGAAAGGATACTGGGGAAAACTGACCTGTCAACTTCCTTGACGGCTGGGACTTTATCAGTTAACATGGGTGCTCTCGCCATGGGTCATTTCCCTGGAGGGCAGCTGGCTCTGCCCAGAAAGCTCCCTCCCCAGACGCCCCCCTGGCAGATTCCCTCTTCCCATGAGGCCTGCCCACCCACCTTACTAATGGAGCGGCCCACCCTTCCACTCGCCTGTTCTGTCCCCATGGCTCTGCCTCACCACTGCTGTGTTTCCTGTACCTATCACCTTGTACCAGTCAAGGAAAGGATCTAGTTATTATGTTTATTGTTTATCTTCTGTCTCAGATAAAATATAATCTCCATGAGGCCAAGGACTTTTTCTGTTTTTGCCCACTGCAGTGAGAAAGGCACCCACGTGGATGCCTTGGGAGCTTAGGTGGCTCTGAAACGCTTCCTGGTGAAGGCGGTGTCTAAGCCGAGTCTTGCAGAGAGGGAAGGGTGCTTTCAACAGAGGAAACTAAACACCAGCAGAAGAGTAAGAGAGTGTGACAGTGGGCACTCAGGGAACAACATTTACTGCTGATAAAGCAGCAACAGCTGAGGCTGAAGCAGTGGGCAGACATCAGGGCTAAAGACCAGCTGAGACTTGGTGCTGGGGAGCCACTGAGGAGCCAGTCAAGCAGGGAGTGGGGAGTGACGGTCGGATTTACATTTTTGTTTTTTATAATATTGTTGTCAGGTCTCCTAGATTCATGCAAAACAAATTTGAGTCGGAGAAAGCTGCCCAGGACGGGAGAATCTAATTTTCCTTCCTGACCACATTAAATTCCAGCACTTCATAAGACAATCCGCTCTGCACAGGGCTGTCAGGAACTGTCTCATGAACACGCTAAGGTGGGAAAGCAGAAGAGGCAAGTGTGGGCACGTGGGAACCATGCCAAGTAAGTGAAAATGTGGGGCTCCAGCCCCAAAGCCAATTCGATAACCAAATATCTGAGAAAACAGCATACATTTAATAATATCTGTGCATCCTCCATTTTGCAAACTTAACTTTGTTGTTCAATTTGTTCTGTTTCAATTATATTTAATTGCATGTCAGAAATGGGCTTAACTTTCAACAGCATGACACATATAGTCATTTCACCACCCTTTACCTCTCAATTAGACATGAAAAAAGGGCAGCATTTCCAACCACCTGGTGAACATTAATGATAAGATAATTGCATTCCAACAGAGTTGTTTTGTACACATAGCTACAAAGTGGCATTCAGCTTTAGGCTCTGATACCACCTGACTTATACATGGGCTGCCTTAAATGAGTGTAACATAATCTCACTGGAATTTTTCTTATTTAATGACTTTATATTTTCATTCAAAACAATTCTCTTCTCAGACAATAACAAGTATTGACAAGGATGTGAAGAAGCTGGAAGCCTCATATGGTGCTGGTGGAACGATGAAATGGCATAGCCACTTTGAAAAACTAGGTAGTTCCTGAAACTGTCAAACACAGAGTTACCATATGACCCAGCAATTCCACTCTTAGCATATGTACCCAAGAGAACTGAAAGCATATGTCCACATAAAAAACGTGTATGTGAATGTTCACAGCAATATTATTCACAGTAGCCAAAATGTGGACACAACCGAAACACAGACCATTTGGTCAATGGATGAATAGAATGTATATCCATAGAGTGGAATCTCATTCAGCAACAAAAATGAAATACCAACACATGCTACAACCTGGGGGAATTTGGAAAACATTATGCTACATGAAAAAGAGCAGACACAAAAGCCCATTACTATAAAATGCCTGAATAAGGTAAGTGTGCAGAGACAGAAAGTAGATTAGTGGTTGCTTAGGATGGGGAAATAGGAGGAGGGATGGGCGGGGGGGGCGGGGTCACTGCTCATGGGTCTAGGGTTTCTTTTTAGGAGAATGAAAATGTTCTACAACTAGATTGTGATGGTGGTCATATGACTCGGGAAATAGACCAAAAGCCACTGTGCTGTACATTTTAATGGCGTATATTTTATGTTACATGAATAATATCTCAAGTTGTTATTAAAATAATTCTGTTCTTTTTCCTAAAAAAAAGTGCTGTAGATAATCTGCTTATTTTCTAACCTCTTTTCCCACCCGCCTGGAAAGTAACAGCTCCTCCCACACATTTAGTGTGCCCTCACCTCACTGTTTCCAGAGCATTCTGTATTCCCAACACAGCTCATCCCAATACACTGTCAGTTCTTCCAGGGTAAGGCTCATGTCTTTATCATGTGAAGTTCTCCTCAAAGCCCACCTAGATATATGAGGGGGGACCCAGAAAGTGGAATTTATTTATCAAAGATTGTGTATTTAGGCTTACATGTTTAAACTTCAAGCACCTTCAAAGTACTCTCCATTTGATGCAATACACCTACTGAGGCGATTTTTCCACTGCTCAAAACAGTTTTTGAACTCATCTATCTTGATGCTTTTATTGCTTCTGCCATTTTTTGTTTCACCTCTCCCACACCGA